TTTGGTGAGTTGATTATACATTTCTGTGAGTTCTGTTTGCATCGTTGAAAAAGAAGGTATTTCCTGATGAGTGGGAGAGTTTAAAGTGTATAACAAAATGAACATCTAGGAGCCTGACTTCAGCAGTTCACCCTAACAAATAAATAGGGTGCCTCTGTGGGTACATAGAACAGAGCTGAACATTATAGAGATATAAACATGATATAAGATGGGGTCTTTCTTTGGTGATGGCAAACTCCCATTTGTAAGCAAAACCTTACGTTTGCACTTCACATTTACAGATTCTCTTAGCAGCTAGAAGTGGGATCTTGTATGGACTTGTCAGTCATGATTGAATTTTACACCAGTCTTTGTGACTTCTGTGGATACAAAAAGCATTCACTGGTCCTCGGTTCCTTTTTATTTTACTGTGCTTAATAAATCAGCGTCTTCTACTTTATTCATTGACACATTTAAGATTTAGTTTCTGCCCTTATCCCTCATAGCTGTATCTGAAACGTCCTTCTTGGCACATTTCTAATCCAAACCAAAAGCAACACCAGACACAAATTCAACCAACAGACAGTAGAATCATTTCATGTTTTAAAAATATCTGTTGGTTGCTCTTTTAACAGATAGGAGACAAAATGGCACCCTCGAAATAAATATCAGGGACAGAGAAACTCTTAACTGTGGGGTTGCTAGAAAGGCTTGTCACTTATGGCCAAAGTCAGTCTGAACTGAGATTCCCTGGAGAATTAACAGCAACAGGACAAAATCAAAGGTCCAATCAGCTCAAATAACAAAATGTGAAATATTAGGAAATAAAAGTCTAAAATGAGAAAAGGCAATGGTACTTCTCAGAGGAGCCTGACAAGGCCTGAACAATACCTGGCACTTCTCACCAGAGAAAGATGACATCCCTAACACCGTGGAGTCCAAAAAACCATCTGCTACTGATCCTGAGAGAGGCTCAAAATCTAATTTGCTGGTCAGTACAGCTTTGATCTGGCCCAAGACTGGGTGTCCTTTCCAGTTTCCCTCACTCTGATGGGCACAAATGATATTTTCTTGAGCAATCTGAGTTCTTTGGAGAAAAATCATGTTCTGATTTGGGTAGTGAATTGGGAATTTGGACCACACCGTCAGGATTGAGACCAAATTCCGACACATTTCTTTAAAATGGAATCTAAAGCCACGTGCTTTGTTTTTCCGGCTTCACTTATAGAATCTCTGTACTCTCTGCCCTATGTTGCGGGCCGACCGTGGAAGGCAACTTTCCTTTAAATTACACTGTCAGATCCTGTATGCATGCGTTGTGATTAATGGGGTGACCCCATGTGGTTCCAGTTTTCGGAACATCATTTTTCTTCAAGATTGCATGCTCCTTGGTGGTCTTTGCCTTTTCTTTCTAAAGATAGACATACAAATTCTCTGATACCGTGGCTTCTCTTCATGAGGAAAACTCTGCCTTAGATCTTTCTAGTAATTTACACCTAAATATCACCAGCACTAACACCAACTTCCTCTTGAAGTGACCCAGCTGGAATTTCCACTTATAGCAAGATGAGAAGGGAGTGGGGATGTTTTTCTTTCTTTTCTCCTGATTACTTTCAACCTACCCCCTTCCATCGCCTTCTTCTCTCACCCCCTGTCCACCCCTACTCACTCTCAAGTTTCATGTAGTTAAAGCCGTTGGAAAAATGTTAGTACAACAATGACTTGGAATACCCCAAACTTGCCTACATGAATAGCATTTAATATTTCAACGGTGTTTATGCATAAAAGTACTAGGTAGCTTTGTATTTAAGCCTAGATTTTATGTGTATAAACTTCGTGACTATGGAGCATATTTCTGTGGCAAGCCCAACATCATAAAATTTTGATTATTCACATTGGAGTTTGGCTGGAGGTGGTTATTTATTAGATTCAAAAATGCTACGCACACTTGGACTGTTTATTCTGGATTTGTTTCTGTGCATTGAGAGTGTCTGGTTCAGCTGAACAATTAGCAAAGAGAGCCAAGTAGGAAAACATCGTGAAAAATCTTGAATCCAGGCACAAGTCATTGAAAAAAATAAAACTTGGACAAAGGAATGTGACCATGGGGTGAGGTAAAAAAGGAAGAATGCAAGCAAGGCTGCCTCTCAACAACAGCAGATCTGGAAAACAAACTGCTTCTGGTGTGTTCGTGCATTGACTTAGGGACCAGGGCTTTGGAAAACAAGGCTGCAACACAATTTCAAACAAGGAAGCACTATCTTTTTAATGACGCAGCCATCCCTCTTCTGGTTATAGATTCAAAAGAATTGAAAACAGGATCTTGAAGAGATTTTTGCACACCCATGCACATTTGTACCATCATTCACAAGAGCCAAGATGGGGAAGCAAACCACGGGACCATTGACAGCTGAATGCTTGTGATGTAATGGAATATTGTTCAGCCTTATAAAAGAAGGAAATCCTGTCTTATGATGTGATATGGATAGACCTCGCAGACATTATGCGAAGTGAAGTATAACTCTATTACAAATGACAAACACTATATGATGCCACATATATGAGGTCCCTAGAGTAGTCAGACGTGGAAACCTAAAGTAGAGTGGTGATTGCCAGCAGGTGAGGGGAGGGAGAATGAATAATCATTCTTCAATGGATACAGAGTTTCAGTCATGCAAGATGAAAGTAGTCCAGCTACATTGAACAGCAGTATGCATATAGTTAAAGGTCAACAATGGAAAGTCCAGAACGTTTCTTGATGTCGAAGTTGGTAGGACTCTGTTTACCCAGACATCCTGCAAGCATCAGGTATGGAGATTCAGTAGATGGCTAGCAGAGTCTGTTAACCAAGAAACAACTTCCCCTGCTTGTCAGAGAAACTCAGTAAGGGTTCTTGGACTCCATCCAATTATTTAGGAAATCATAGCGCAAGGTCTGGCATGTTCCTACACCACCATAACTGTGTGGTTCTATATATTTTTGTACATTCTCTCACTTCTTTTGTATCTTACTTACCTGGTCTGGATAGTGTGGTAATATTAGAGTTGTCAAAAGAAACAAAGAAAAGACAACAAGAATTGATGGTCGCATGGAAACTAAATCGTCCAGGATGTCAACCTAGATCCATATTTATTTATTTATTTATTTTATTTTTTGGAATTGGAGTCTCACTCCATTGCCCAGACTGGAGTGCAGTGGCACGCATATGGCCACCCCAGCGTTGGGCTCTGGTGATCCTTCTGCCTCAGCCTTCCAAGTAGCCAGAATTATAAGTGCGCGCTATCACGCCCGGCTAATTTTTGATTTATTGTAGAGACAAGGTCTCGCCAAGTTGCCTGGACTGGTCTTGAACCCGTGGGCTCAGGCAATCCACTTGCCTTGGCCTCCCAAAATACTGGGATTACAGGCTGAGCCACCGAGCCCGGCCCAGAATAGATCATTTTAAAAGTCTAGTTGGGCGCAGTGGTTCACTCATGTAATCTCAGCACTTTGGAAGGCCGAGGTGAACAGAGAGCTTGTGCCCAGGAGTTCATGACCAGTCTAGGCAACACAGCAAGACTTCATCTCTACAAAAAATTTTTTAAAAAATTAGCCAGCCATGGTGATGCACGCCTGTAGTCTCAGCTACTTGGGAGGCTGCCATTGAAAGATTGCCTGAGCCTAGGAGGTCAAGGCTATGCTGAGCCATAATCATGCAGATAATAAAAATGTCTACTCAGACATCCTCATGTGAGGTAGCGGAAACTTCTAAACAAGGGTCTGACTTTAAGGAGTGAAGAAACACGTTCTTCCTGAGGAAATCCAATTTCTTTCCAAACCAAATTCAACTAATCTTCACACTCCTTCTGAAGGAAGCACTTCAGATGACTGGGCTTTGTTTTTAGTTGCCATGATCCCCCTTCACCTTTCTGCTGACCTTTTATGTCAGTTTTCTTATCTGCAATATGTGGTAATATACTTGCATTGATGCCAAAGATTTACTAATGTCTTCCAGTAACTGCAGTGAGACCACTAACTCAGCTCACAAGCCTTGTCTGTTCTCAGTGGAGATAATATTATCCTCAGTGTGGCAAAAATGGATTCTTGTCTAGGAGTGGGAATTTAAAAAATCTTAGCGATAGTACAATGATTTCTAGACTCTTATTCCATAGTATTTAATATCCTTGTTAAGGAGAATCTAAATTTAATGTTTTTTCCTTTATTGGGACAATAATGAAATAAAGGTTGAGAAGCATTGTCCTTGCTGGATGTAATATTATCCTGCTTCCTCTGAAGTGAACTGGAGCTAAGCCAAGAGGATAAAAATGATCTAGCCCTTGCATTTTGATTAAAAAATAAAAATGGAGAAATAGCTAATCTTTTGTAATATACAAGCATACACTTAGTGCTGTGATTGCATATCAAGCACACTGCGTTCAGCCTTACTTTTAGCATCTATCTTAAATCTTTGAAGTCCATGCAACATCGCTGTGGATTCCAAATACAGATCCACAACCAAAGGTTCCTTCTGTGGCAGAGCAGACTTTTGGCTTGAAATCGTGGCTCTCCCAAGTCCCTACAATTCTGGGAGGCAGGGACTGTGTGCTTCTATTCCTTAAGCCACCAGTGCCTGGTCTGTTGATCCACCGTGTTTGATTACTCAAAAATGTTGAAGCAATGAAAGAACTTTAGTTTTAACCAGGATTGGCACTAGGGTGAGGCACGTGAGGTGCTGACAGTACAGAATTTAAGAAGGTATTTTCACAACCTTTGTGTGCAACCTGTAAGCCACAGCCTCACCCTGGTCCTGACCTGGGTTTTAATAGAAGTAAAATTCAGTTTCTAAACTTGTCCCTTTCCAGAGTTAATCTACACGGACAATTCTCCAGAAGTGATGTGGTTATGAGATTGTAGGAACAAGGAATTTAAAATAAATATTTCAACACCTCCCCACCCATTCTATTTTCATGAGTAAATTTCTTTCTACTTGCATGTGACTCCCATTAACCCAGAGGCCTAAATTGTTCACTTGTGTCTTCTAGATTACTACAGATCTGAGGCAGCGTTGCACAGACAACCACACTGGGACGTCGGCCTCAGCCCCCATGGCTGCGGGCATCATTGCACTGGCCCTGGAAGCCAAGTAAGCCTTGATCTCTATGTTTTCACTGGTGATAACCCTTGATCTCAGGGAAGGCTTACCCCCTCCCTTGTGTGCAGCCCCTAGCATGACCACCTAGAATATAATCTTTCCAATTCCGCCTTTAAAACTTCAAAGATTTGGGCTTTAAAAAAAATTTCCCTCTATTAAGGAAAAGACACATTTTTTAGTTTTGAATGCTTAGAAAAATCAACCAGTGTAATTACTTTATTATTGAGTCCTAGGACGCACACGCTAGTTGGCTCTAACACTTTTGCCTTGGTGCGGTTTTTATTCTCATCTGGGAATGTTCCTGAGGTTTCCAAAGAGGTTAAGTATGTCCACTTCTGGTCCTTTCTCTGCCGCACTCAGACGAGGCAGCTCAAATTCATGACAATAACACTGGTTCTGGATAGAATATGTCAAGGCCATATGACAGGAGCCAGGGACAAGGATGACTCATTTGTCGCAAATCCTGTTCAAGACAATACAATGTTACACCTAAAAGATCACATTGAAAGACCCCCTAGGTTATTTGCAATAGGCTCTCATCTCTTCTTTCTCTAAGAACAAATAGGTTAATTTGTCTTAAGTTTTTGAAAATCTAATACAGATCTCAAATCTCATCCTCAATTTCAAAATCCAGAACGCCCAGAAAACTGAACATTCTTTTGCAAAGTTAGCACCCAAATGCATTTGATGGCTGAGGCAATTTACAGTCTTTATTCCATTTATTGTGAAAATTCCTACATTTCACTGCAGAAATATTCTTGTATTTGATTGTGAGGTGCTGGCCCGGACCCCACTGGAGGTTTTATGTAATAGATGCTATGGACCATCTCTGAGAAAATCTTGAGTTCCAAACACATAGAGTCCAAGGATTTTAGAAGAGGGATGGAAGGCCTGCTGTCGAAGGCTCTCCCTGCCAAAAGATGTTAAAGAAAAGACACTGAAATAATGGCATAAGCGATTTTCCAAAAACAGCCTTACACCCCTGCCCTGGGAAGGAGGAAAAGGCTTGTTCATCTAGTTGCACAGAGCAAAAGGTGACAGGGAAGGGATACAAGGATAACAAAGAGGCTCATGGGTTACAGTAAGAACCATGCTAGTTCATTCTCAAGACACAGGTGGTTCCCAGCATTCACAGCTGCCCCTCTGTAAGACAGAGAATCTATGTGAAGGCAGTTGGGTCTTAATATAAAGTGGATACAGTCAATTGCTAAGTCATGTAAAGCCTTGGGCTGAAACAGGGAGAAGATCACAGATGCTGGCCATGGTGCCATCTCTTGGGTGGCCTTCTGCCTCAGCCTTGACATTGAGAGATAGCCAAGCCCCCACGAACACTTGGATTTCTTTCTTTTTGAGAAGGTTAAATATGAAGTCATTTCAACATATTATATCTTTTAAGGTGCTAAAATTTGGGGTTTAACAAGGAACTGGCGCTTATCCTATTAAATTCTCACTTTATAACTTTTCACTGGAGTGTTCTGGCAGCTAGAGTCTCAATTAAGTGTCTGTGTTTTTAATTTGGTGAACTCTAAGTGGGATTTTTTTTTTTAAATGTATTGGTTTTCTCTTCTGAAATTCTAGGTTGTGTCTCTGGAATATTTTTATGTCCACAAAATACTGAAGGAAAAAAAAACAGAAATTCCTCTACCTCTACCTACCCTCCCCCTAAAAGGGGGGAGGCTATAATATCAAACTTGAACTTGGCAACCTAATACTGTAACTGTTGCTTCGCAGACTTAATTGATACTCAGTTCTTTGAGGTATTACTGTAACACTGTTATTTTCACTAAAATGCAAAATTCTGACTTTATGCCTCAAACAGCCCGTTCAGATAAGGTCACTTTGGGCCAGGTAACACATTGAAGGACTACATACAACTACAGCCGCTTTCTGTTCTTCTGTAATTTGAGCAATTTTTTTACATTTATTTTTGCCGAAACTGTGATGGGTGGAGAGAAATTTCCAAGACACAGGCTCCCTGGAAAATCCACTGTATTTGGAGGGTTTTGGCAGTCCAGTTCAATCATGGGGCCAGAAAAGATGGTAATCTGTCTGATAAAATGAAAAAGTAAAACCCCTCCTACCGGTTTGTTCTACAGGCCAATATTTTGCTTGTCACTAAGCTGAAAATTATGGGAAAGAGGTCTGAGTGCTAAAAGAGTGGGTCAGACGTTGATATTAAACTAGCATCAATAAGCAGTGGGCCTCCAGCTTGGGGGAAACATATCTAAAACTAAGAAGTTGTAGAGCAGCTCCAGTAACAGTGCACTGAGGCAGCCAAGCCTAGCCCTTGCAAATGTGTCTCCCACCTTTACCCGGCCTCACCCCTTGCTATCTCCTCTTACACCCTTACTTCTCAACAACAGTTGGACCGTGGTATTTTGAGATGCAGCCTTTGCTATCACATGTTGAAGAGCCAGATCTGTAAGACATTCCCTTGTAAGTGGAGAGGAGAGAAAGCTACAGCGAGGCAGAATTAGGACTCAGAACGCTGCCCTACTCTCCAGATAGGCACGGCTGCTCATGCCAGGGTTCGTTGACTAACTGGATTTACTAAGCCTTCAGGTGAAAATCTGCAAGCAGAGGCTGCCAGCCCCTGTTTAACTGCGTGTCCCAGCTATCCCTGCTCTATAAGGAGAAACTGATTGTTTCTCTGAATGTCACTATAGTATTTACTCATCCTAAGCTTGTCCCCAGCCTGCTTCTTTTATGTTTCACGGTGCTCCTCTGCATCAATAAGACTGTGAGTCTTACTGTGGATGCTATTTGTCTCCCTGTCATTCGAAGACCTCAGGAAAATAAGGGAAAAGAAAACTAATACAGTCTGTAGTCCCAGCTACTTGGGAGGCTGAGGCAGGAGGATCCCTTGAGCCCATGGGTTTGAGGCCTCAGTGAGCTATGATTCACTCCAGCTTGAGAGAGTGAGACTCCATCTCAAAAAAAAGAAATACAAAACATAGAAATAGATCAACTTAAAGTATTCACATCTCTTATCCAAACTTGACAAAAGTTTCATAATGAAATAACTTTTGCTGTGACAACTAGTAAGACTCTCCAGGCCATCCTTTTCCTACAAAGAACCTGTATGGCAACAAATTTCACTCTAGTGTGCCCCCAGACACTTAGAATGAAAGTATTTTTGTCCAAGACTGGAAGAATTCTCCGTTCTTCTAAAAATCTGCCTCCTTTACCATTTTTTTCTGGGTTTGAGCCTCTTTGGTTTGGGTTGTGTTCAGCCTCATTGTGAATCTTGCCTCTGGTAAATTAGGCGAGCTTCTCCACTTTCTCCAAAGATGCTTCTAAAAGCCATGGACAATTTCAGAATATGAGAAAATGCTGTCATCGTAAAAGAGAGGGAAAACTTGTTTTGTGTTGAAGTAACCTCAGCACATATTTATTGGTTCAGAAGGTTTATAATTATTTGGATTTTGTGGGGTTTGTGGATTTGGGAGTAACTTTTTGGTTTTTGAGCCAGGTGAATAGAAACATATCATCAGTGATTAAAAGGGAATTAATTACCATTTGGGCTCTTGTTGCTTAAATTGATGTCTCTTTATGTAGTGTAACTCAAAAAGTTTAATTAAAATGACTATGCTAGTAGTCGATTTTCTTAAGTGAAGAAAATAATGAAAGATGACTGCACGGATTTTAAATTAGCGACTTGGGAGAATACCTTACGATTGTAGAGTGTTTGTATATAGATCCTAGTATATGTTATCCGTATTCTAGACCTGTCGGAGAGAAACAGAAACCAAAACAAAACGAAGAGTTTGCTGTCAAGTGATATTTCTTATAAAATGATTTATAAATAAAATTAAAATAATTAATACTCGTAAAAGTAGAGTGCTCAGAATAATAAATGTTTTATTGAAAGTTTCCCTGACCTGAGTCTGCAATTATTAGCAAAGGAAAGCTTATTCTAATGGTTTTACATGTGTTAAAATATCAGCATTAACTCAGGCAACTCAGAATTTAAATTCACCAAATACACTTTTTTGCCTTGAATCGAAAAGGGCTTTTCATTGTAAAATGAAAGAATATATGTTCAGCAATCAAGAAATGTTATACTATGTAGTGAAAGGTAGGTAAATAAACAGGACTGAATTAGGCACAAACTTCTGAAATTATTAGGAACTTAGAAAAAGAGTATTGATATGAAGAATATTCCACAAATCCTTTTTTTAAATGACTTTTGCAAAAGTCTTTTCCTCAAATTTTGTATCCTAGAAGCCACAGGAATACATTACTTTGAGCAAACCAATATGTCTATATCTAAATTTATAAAATAAACAAATTGTGATGGGAGCTGTTCTTCTCCACTAGAAATACAATTGGTATATATTAAATATCAGCTGCCTCTGGCATATTATATATACACATACATACTCACACATTTACACATTTTAAGTAGGTTCATCCACTTTTCTCCTTATGACCTGTCTGCTCCCTCCTATTTCAATTATCCTATTACCACTGGTTTATTGAATATAGATACAGAAAGAACATAAAATACATAAAATGTGGGATATCATTATAGATCATTTAAATCATCTTTATTATTCTACTACAGATATTTTCATTTGTAATATCTTCCAAACGAAGCTTTAATCTTTTGAGAATAAGGATTATGTCTTATCATCTTTATGTATGTGTATATAACAAATATGTTGAACATTACCCCAAAAAAGTAAAGCATCATACCAGTCACTAAGTTACTTAAGGCATAATTCAAATATTTGTAAAATATGCCTCTTACTTTCAAGAGACTTTATAATCTCATTAGGAAAGCCAATGTGCACAAATTATTTAAGAAAGCCAATGAGATTCTTTTGGGGAAAAGTTGTAGGAAGGTACAGGACTTAGAAGAAAATAGCAATGGTGAGCTTTGAAGATTCAAATTGGAACATTGGTTCCATAAAGTTTTTGTAACCTCTGTGACAAATAAGCATAGTATTTGGACAGAGACAGTTCTCAACAAATATTAGATTAATCCG